ATTGTAGAGAGAGATGTTTCCTGAGACTGGATGGTAACAGTCATTCAGAACCATCTCCTCTGTTATAGCAGCATCCCCTGGAGGTGACAGAATCACAGAAGAAATATCTGGTCCCGCATCTTGAGAGATTGGACCCCATAGCATAGCAGAGGCATAAAAATCTTCTCTTGGATTGTTGTGGCCCAGAAGAGAAATGCCAAAACAGAGAAGACCCTATAGATGTGACAACTGACCCAATGTCCCATGATGCCTTCCAATGCTTTGTCATGCATAAGCATCCAGGATCTTTGTATAACCCCAGGGCAGGGGCAGGCCTAATAAAAACTAAGACCGAATATCCAACCAGTCAGCAAAACAGAGGCTTGGAATATACACAGTCAATTTAAAGAAAGCACAGAAATATTTCCTGCATCTATAAGTCCATCAACTATGATTCATAACTACTACATGCATTTTAACTTTGTAGTAGTAAATAAAATAATTGGCATTTTTTCCAGAAATAATAAGTATAAATGTAATCCATAATTAACATGAAATAGCAATATTCAAAACAGGAAAAACTGCAGTGTTTAAAGTATTTAGAGGTGATTTAGTAACCCTTGGACAACAAGGAAAATGAACTAGAAAGTACCATTAAAGTTTAAACAGGAACTATTTCCATTTACCAAGAACCTTTCCCCATCCTGAAGACAATGAACTTACTGCTTGGACTCTGGCTGGACTTCCCTGCTCTCTTCATTCCTTGCCCATAAATATAGTTGTCCTCAGACCTTCAGTGGACTCGCCTGTAGCTTGCTACAGTTTGTGTTTTCCAAATTGCAATTCCTCTGCCATTCCCCAATAAACTCAATTTTTGTTAACTTGAGCTTGCCTCAGTTCACATCTTTAGTTAGGTTCACACTCACCTTAGGAGGCCATTTGGCTTTGCTGCAAACTACTAACGTGATGAATAGTTTGTAAAGGAATTGCAGAAGTGGATGTAATTGTCTATGAGTTCTTTTATTGGGTTTGTGCTGTGCACTAGTATTTTTTATTTATTTGCAACACAACATACAATATGAAATAAAGAAAACTATGCACACACACTATATATACGCTAGAAATAAAAAAAAATGTTTTTGACCATTTTATATTTAGCAGTACCAAAAATTACCCATGTTACTCATTTTAAGTGGTTGTCATTTAGGAAATTCAATTTGGTTCATTTTTCACAAAAATAAAAGCACTAATGATGTTTGAGGTTCCTATGCTTTAGAGATGTGAAGATAAGTAAAATATGTTCCCTCTCCTCAAGAAATTATAATCTAGAGAAAAAGGACTGGCCTGTAAGCCAACAGTTTTTTCACATTTCAAGATGCTGAATTCCACGATGGGACTCCAGGTGATTTTAGAGGGAAAAAATTGCCCAAGAAAAATATTTGATCAATATCACATTTTATAAATGTATGATAAGACCTAGAGAATAGTCAAATTTAAATTTAAATATGAACAAGATATTATATTTTTAATAGATAATTCTATTCTTAAAAGATAATTCCATTCTTAGTAGAATTCTTTGTCTATTTTGGCTCTGAGTTCAAAGAATATAAATATCTTTACCTAGTAAGCAAAATACTTAAAATTTGAAAGTACTTGACACCATTGAATTCTTTCAGCCTCAAACCATCAAATAATATGGTGGTCTTTAATTGTTCTTTTTTTAATTTAAAGCAAGCATAAATCAAAATCTTTAGGTCGTTCCTGAAAGAGCAAAGAAATCAGAGAAAAAATATTAATCAAAGAAATAATGAAACTAAATTTCCCTAAGCTGAAGAAAGACAAATTTTGGATCGAGAGGGTTGAAAAACCAGCAAAACTATGAAGAGTAAATGCAAATGACCAATAAATATAGATGATGCTAAACTGTCCAAATAAAGGAAATGACTGATTTATGGATCACAAAACAAGGTAGAATTGACCATGAGGAACTGAACATTGAATGTGAGTGTGAATATTCAGAAGATTGGCTATAGAAATTTAAGAAGCTTCATGGTATAAAACATCTGAATATTTTCATGAAAAAATTTCTGCTGGAAATTACATTGATGAATATTCTAAGGTGATATCTGATGAGAATCTTAGTCCTGAACCTGAGGAAACAGTTCGGTACTGGTGCTATGTCCTAGAAGAACATTAACCATGGCTGAGGAAAGGAGCCCACAGGTTTTAAGGACGCTAAGCGTTGGTTGGCTGTTCTTACAGTACTAATAGGAAAAACTTGGCAGTAATTAGAAAACGTCAATGTCTACAGCATATGAAGGATATACACAATTTGTCTATGCATCACTAAGCAAACAAGGAAGTATGAATAGCCAGAGAAGTAGCTGGATGACCTACTGGCTGAATGACAACTTCATACCAGGTGCGTGAAGTTGTTACAGGCAACATGTACTAGAAGAAAACTGTAGAATTTATTCTTCTCAGACAACTGCTCTTTATATTCTCTCCTTCACTTCTTGTAAAAAATAATGTTTCAGTATTTGTTCTCCCACCGCACATACACACACACAATGTAACATCAGCCATAAACACGTGTGGCCATGAAATTTTATGTTCTACAAACAAAAATATAAACTTGTCCTAACTGTGGGCTAGCTGCCCCAGAGATCCAAGAATCCAAGACGATCTGAATGAGTTCAGTCTTAATGATGCCATTGATATCATATACAAATTTATGTGTGGACATATATTTCCAATTCTCTTGAGGATATTCCCCGGAGTGGAACTGCTGAACCATTTGGTAACTCTGTTTAACCATTTGAGGAACTGCCAGATTGTTTTCCAAAGTGGTTGCATTATTTTACATTCTCGCCAGTAGTGAACAAGGGCTCCAGTTTCTCCACATCCTCACCAACGCTTATTACCTGTCTTCTTGATTACAGATATACAAACAGATATGAAGTGGTTTTGCTTTGAATTTCCCTGATGGCTAATAATATTGAACATCTTTTCATGTGCTTCTTAGCCATCTGTATATCTCCTTTGAAGAAATGTCTATTCAGATCCTTTGTCCATTTTTAATTGGGCTTTTTATTATTGAGTTGTAACGGTTTTTATATGTTCTAGATACAAATCCCTTATCGGATGTATGATTTGCAAAAATTTCCTCTCATTCTATGGGTTGTCTTTTCACTTCCTTGATAGTGTTCTTTGAAGCACTAATGTATATATATATATACATATATATATATATATTTTGTTGTTGTTGAGGAAGTTTAGCCCTGAGCTAACATCTGCTGCCAAGCCTCCTCTTTTTGCTGAGGAAGACTGGCCCTGAGCTAAAATCCGTGCCCATCTTCCTCTACTTTATATGTGGGAAGCCTGCCACAGCATGGCTTGCCAAGTGTTGCATAGGTCCGCACCCGGGATCTGAACCAGCGAACCTGGGCTGCCGAAGTGAAACCCATGAACTTAACCACTGCACCACAGGGCAGGCTCCACTAATGTTTATAATTTTCATGAAGTCCATTGGGTCTATTTTTTCTTTGGTTGTATGTGCTTTTGCTGCCATATCTAAGAAATCATTGCCTGAATCAAAGCCACAAGAATTCTAAGGGTTTAGTTTTAGCTCTTACATTTAGGTCTTTGATCCATTTGAGTTAATTATTATATACAGTATGAGGCAGAGTTCTAACTTCATTCTTTTGCAGAAGGATATCCAGTTGTCCCAGAACTGTTTATTAGAAAGATTTTCTTTCCCCCGTTGAATTATTTTAGCACCCTTGTCAAAAGTCAATTTACCATAAATGTGAGTTTATTTCCGGATTCTCAATTCTATTGTATTGATCCATATGTCTGTCTTCAGGCCTGTGCCACATTGTCTTGATTACTGCAGTTTAGTAGTAATTTTTGAAATTGAAAAATGTGAGTTTTCCAACTTTGTATTTCTTTTTCGAGATTGTTTTATCTATTCCAGGTCCCTAGGTAGACTTGCCATATGAATTTTAGGATCAGCTTGTCAATTTCTGCAAAGAGATTAACTAGGATTTCATAGGGATGGACTGACTCTGTAGCTCAATCTGGGGACACTGCCATTTTAACAATATCAGGTGTTCTTACTCATGACCATGTGATGTCTTTCCATTTATTTCAGTCTTCTTTAACCTCTTTCAACAGTGTTTCGTAATTTTCAGAGTATAAGTTTTGAACTTTTGTTAAATTTATTCCTAAGTATTTTATTCTTTTTAATGCTATTGTAAATGGAGTTTTTCTTAATTTATTTCCTCTTCAGTTTGCTAATTGCTATTGTATAGAAATAAAACTGATATTTGTATATTGATCTTGTATACTGCAACCTTGCTGAACTTTTTTATTAGATATAATAGTCTATTAATGGATTCCTTAGCATTTTCTATGTACAACATCATGTCATCTGTAAATATAGTTTTACATTGTAAAGAAATGAATCCATTTGGTTTTATGGAAATATAAGCAAAAATAAAGAGTACAGTGTTTAGTTTAGTAATTCCCAAAATGCGTGTCATGGAATATAGATTCTTAGGATGTAATTACCTCCTAAAAGCTTTTTCTCCTGAAATAAGTTTGGAAAACATTGCACTCGACAAAATTAAATAGGTTTGCATACTGTAAGACTTCTCAGAGATGTTAATATGGTCCTATGCATTGCAAATCTCACTGAGTAGCAGTATAATTATAGCTTTTCCTAAATTTGACCAAGAAACCTTTAGAACACTATTTCCAGAATCAGGTGCACAACCCATTTTGGGAAATTCTAATTGATAGTACTATAACTATTTACTAAGCATTCATCATGACCAGGCACTTTACTAGGGGCTCTGGATGAATAATGAACTTCAAGAAAGGAACACTTACCAAATTAATCAAGATAATCAATGATTCTGATAATGAATAAGATGTTCAATAAGAATATAGCATTACTCATCAAGATCAGAAGGGTTCATACAGAATAGTTCTTAGTGAAATAAAAATCTGATACTCACCTTGAACCTAAAATTTATGAGCAGTATCAAAACAAAGACTGTTTACACATTGAAGAGAGATGTTTCAGCTCATGAAGTGCCTCCAGCAAGCTGGCTGGGTGCTGGGCGGTTCATCTGCAGCTTAGCATACATCCAGAATTTAAAAGAAAAAAAAGTTTTTAACATTAATCTCTAATGTATTTTTTTAAGCCCCAGTTAAAACAAGGTTGGAAAAGTACCCTTTAAAAAACAATTTCTGAGACACTAGATGCTATTAAGATTATAACAAGACTTTGGATAGGTAACATGCTTTAGGGAATACAAGATTTAGCTATAACCTTAAAGAGCAAAGGATAATTTCACCAAAGACCACCAAAAAGAAAGAATCCATTCAGACATATTATTGAGATAAGGTACATAAGGGAATCCTACCATCACCTTTCCCCTTCCTAGAATTTTTTCCTAATGGAAACTTGCACCCTTTCCTCAAGATTAATTGCCTTTAAAAATCCTGTTATTTCACAACCTCAAGGCACTTCCCCCCACCCCTCCGCCCCATCCCCCCACACACTTATCCAAATTTTTGAACTTTCTCTTTTGAAGTCCAAAATAGTCTGCATACAAAAAAAAAAAAAAAGAAGAAGAAGGGGACTGCAATTTCACTGAGCATAGAAGGACTTGGAAACCATCCAGCGAGGCAAGCGGACTTCTGAATTAAGATTTGCCAGACGGCAAGCGAGACACAGAAAATTGAAAGAATTCCCTCATTGATAGCAATAGGAAGGTTCTCCTACCACCTTTCGTCTTCCCAGCAAAGAGCTATTTCCCTATCCAATGACCTAGTGGTTGATCCCCCACCTTCTCCCTTCACGCCTTCACAGGAGTGTTTCCACACTAGACCGCTTAGATTCTTAGGAGGGGCCAGGATGGCGCCTGCGTTATTAGAGGATTCTAACAGCCAGAGCTACGGACCCCAAAGAAAGAAGGCTTAGTGCTCCCATTTGTGGATCTTTGTGGGTCTCCCGGCGGCCTCGGGATGGTGAATGTGGCAAAAACCTCTCAAGTCATCAGAACCAGGACCTAGTAATCACTCACCGCGGCACGCAGGGTCGCTGGGGACCGAGACCGGTTGCTAAGGACGCCGTGGGAGGCGCTCTTAGAGCCGGAAGGTTGTTCTTTTAGAGTCTCCTGACCAGGGCTTAGCCAACCAGGACCTGTAAATGCAATTCCGCCTTCCCTTCCCCGCCTTCACCATATTTGTGTTTAGTTTCGAATGAATAGATGCAAAGACGTGTAAAAGACCTTTATTAGCTTTAAAATACAATCATAAAGCAGTTAGCAATGGTTCTTTCTACATACTGTACGTACGTTGCATATCCGGCCAGGAGCTGCGAAGAGAAGCGACTCGGCCGCGCGTCAGTGCCCCCTGAATGTCTAAACGCCTCCTCCAAAGCCTCGCCCCTCCCCCCAATCTAAATTAAAAAATAAAAATAAAAACAACATGCTTGCTATCCAGAGGTAGCTATGTCTTTTCATCAGACTGCTGTTTGTAAGCTCGTTTTACATAGAAGATGTAGACCCGCCAGTGTCCTCCGCAATTAGGATAATGGGTAAACAAAGCATAGAAAGTGTTTTGTACGTACTAACCACAAGGGGGAGAATTTAAACATAAAAGATTGCCTGTTTTTAAATATAGTATCCAATAAAATTATCTAATTTAAATCCTTGTGAAATTCCTCTGTCTACCAATGGGCGAGCAACTTCAAATATTCTACAAAGTTCACAAGTGTTTTACTGTATGGAAGAGTAACTCTAATTAAATTCAAAGTTAATGTACAGGGATTGTCCTGGTGAAATAAATTGGCTTAAAAAATTAAGAACTTTAAAAGAGAACTTAATTGATGTAAACTTGAAATACATCAATCCTGAATTATTTCTGTTCATAATAAGAACCAAATAAGTCTTTTGATTTTTTTTAGACATTTTGCTATTTAAAACAGAAATTATAGATCCAAACCCATAGAATGTATAACATCAAGAGTGAACTCTAATATAAGCTGTGGACTTGGGTGATCATGATATGTCAATGTAAATTCATCAGTTGTAATAAATGTCCCACTCAGGTTGAGGATATTGATAATGGGGGAGGCTATGCATGTGTGGGGGTAGGGAGTATATGGGAAAACTCTGTACTTTCCTCTTAATTTTTCTGAACCTAAAACTCCTCATAAAAATTAATAATAAAAACTTTAATTAATAAATTTTTTAAAATAAAGTTTAAAAAAAACAAAATTTATAATATCTAATCCCAGGCTTTGTCAAAACACACTCTCCTAATAGGTCAGTAGGTTGAGCGTAAGAACAAAAGTGAAATTGAGACAACCTATAAAAGAGAGAAGAAAAATATAAATAATATTTATCCTTAAAAAATATAAAATTTATCTTTAAAAATTAGTTGGAAGAACAAAACTTCTTTGATCAAAAAAAAAAATGATGAGACAGGAAATTGACTGCTTATCATATTCCAAATAAAACAAATATGGAAAGACTGCTGCACTTAAAAATAGCTCGGTGGGTTTTATTTAAAATTGACTTCAAGAAATCTAGAAAAAAATGTTAAAAGCACAAAAAATTCAAGCTGTTAAACAAGCTACTCACAAAGGAATAAAAAGCAGGTTAGCCAAAAAATTCTTCCCCATGATATGAAAATCCATTGATTCTACAGAGCGTTTAGAGAAAAAAGTAGCCACCCGTGAATTCTATAGAGAAGACAACAAAAGGACACATTTATATAAGGCAGAATTTACAAATTCTTCCCCTACTCCTGCTACGCTTTAAGATTAAACCACTCAAAAGCAGATCACTTAGACATTAATCAAAACTAAGAACTCAAAATTGTGGAAGTCGTGACTGGAAAGAATTGATGTTGAGCTCTGAAACTAGATGTACCTAAACAGTTTTCCCTTGGCCATCAAATGAAATGGCAGAAAATGTTTTGAAAGAGATGATAGATTTATAGCTTTTATAATTCAAGTTAAAATAATGAAGTGTGAGAAAGCAGTGGGGACATTTCTCAATTTTCATAAAGGAGTGTAAAGTAAAAATGTTCCACTATTGTGTGTGCAGGGGAGGATTCAGTTAGATTCTCAGCTCACACTCTACACTAAATGACAGATCTCAACAGAGATACAGAAGATATTTTTGGAAGAGAACACTTAGTGGCATAAACCTAGATCACAGGAAATAGAAAACCATGAATCCTTGAAGGAAATATTTCACAGAGTGAAAAAAAAAATCTAACCTCTTAAGGTTACCATATAAATTGTATGCAAATATATTTCAAAGCCCAAAGTATGTGTGTGTCTGTGTGTGTCTGTGTGTTTTCAGGAGAGTGAGAGTGAAGAATGAGATGGTTTTAAAATTCATTTGGAAGAATAAATGGCAGATTAGCCAAGAAAATTATGAAAAAGAAGCAAATGTAGAGGGATTTGGTTCCTACATATTAAAACTTACTGTGAAAACTGTTTATTGGTCCATATATATTTTAGAAATAAAATATTTTAAATATTTTAAAATTCCATCCTTGAAAATGGTATATAGTTGCATCCCAGTACCTAATACAGAGACTTGCATGTAGTAAGTGCTAAATAAATACTGCTGGGTGAATTCTTGAATAAAAATGTAGACGATTTTATTTTATCCTGTGAGCTGAATTCATTGTCAGAATTTCTGAGTAAAATATTAATATAAATGAGTGATCTGCTTATTCTCTACTTTTGTTTAGCAGGGCATATCATTCTGTGCCAACTCTTGAAACCTGTCAAAATAGTTTACTATTCTTCATTTGTATTTTGACTCCAGTCTAACTGAATAATGACTGGACTTTTAAAAATATTTATTAAACTATTTCATGATTATCAATATTTTTATCATATGATTCTTTTCAAATAAAACTAATCCTTCAAGTCTGCTCAAGAAAAAGGTCAAAAATTTAATCTATATCATTCTGTTAATAATTGTGTGAAAATCCTAATTATTAATTTTTGGTGCCTACAATATTTTCTATCCATTAATTGTGATGTAATGGTTTAATTGTGGTGATTTTAAAATATGAACACAGATTGTCTGATAATCCTCCCTTCTAAAGATGGAGCCAAATCTCTTCCCCCTGAGTGTGGGGTCAGATTTACTGACTCACTTCTAGAGAATAGAATGTGGTAGAAGCGATGAGCTGGGATTAGGTCATAAAAGACAGTGTGGAGGCCGGCCAGGGTCGCAGCGGTTAAGTGTGCACGTTCCGCGGCGGCTCAGGGTTCGCCGGTTGGGATCCCGGTTGCAGACATGGCACCGCTTGGCACGCCATGCTGTGGTGGGCGTACCACATATAAACTAGAGGAAGATGGGCATGGATGTTGGCTCAGGGCCAGGCTTCCTCAGCAAAAAAAGAGGAGGACTGGCAGTAGTTAGCTCAGGGTTAATCTTCCTCAAAGAAAAGAAAACAAAACAAAACAAAGACAAGGAAAAAAAAAAAAAAAAACGACAGTGTGGCTTCCTCCTTGCTATCTCTCTTGGATCATTTGCTCTGGGAAGAAGCCAACTGTCATGTCATGAGGACATTCACGACATTCTATGGAGAGCTCCAAATAGCAAGGAATTGAGACCTCCTGACAGCAAACCGGCAAGAAAAGGAAGCATTCTTTCCACAATTAGCTCAGTGAGATATCTTGAAAGTGGATCCTCCAGTCCCAGTCAAACCCAGTGAGTCTAAAATGACCACACCTCAAGTTGAAGTCTTGACTGAAACTTCATGAGAGACCCTGAGCCAGAACCACAAATCTAAGCCACTCTCAAATTCTTGAACTACAGAAACTGAGATAATAAATATTGCTTTAGGCTGCTTTATTTAAGGATAATTTATGCCACAACAGATAACTACTAGAAATATTATACTGTTATTCTCATATAATGCATACTGGTCACTCTTTTTTAAATGTTAGAATTACAGATTTTAATTTCTGTATTATGAGTTTCTCAAACTAGTTTGAAGCTAAACACTCTGGACCACTTCAGCAACTATTTTGGAAAGATTTTGAAGAAATATAGGATGGCAGAACGTTGATAGTGCTCTAGAGACTGCTGATTAAATGCTATGGACAGATTTAGTAATCTAGAAAGATCTTTATTGCTGTGTCCCATAATTTAATCTATTCTACTGATTTTTTTCTAAAGTAATTTTTATTCTTAGCAAAAACAAAAAAAAACCCTATTTTACAACAATTAGAAAATGAAAAGTGAAAAAAATAAAACATATTCAAACCTACACCCAGATATAACATAATTTATCATTTTGGCATATACCCTTTTATTGTGTATCTTTACTATTATTTTTACAAGAATGAAATCATAGTGTACATATTTTTAACTTAACATGAACATTTTCACTTGTCATTTAATGTCCATCTCTAACGTAATCTTTAAACATGCTGACTCTAGCTCTTCTCATCTCCATAGCCACTATCACTCTAGATCAAATTACTACTATCATTTGCCTCAGCAGCTTGCAATGGCCTACTAAGTAGAGGAGGCTTCCATCTTTGCCCCATACAGAATTCAGGTTGACCCTTCTAAAACAACATTAAGGTCACCTCACTTTTCTACTCTTAAAAAAAACTAAATTCTTGTCCATCACCCACAGGGCCCTGCAAAATTTGGCCCCTACCCTCCTTTCAGCTCTCAGTGAGCCCTTGCTCACTGGCTATCTACCTTGTCATCAGGACCTCATACTTAGGTCTGTCTTGAAAATTTTTCTCCCAGATGTTCATACATGGCTCACTCCCTCACTTCATTTAGGTCTGTTTAAAAATCAATTCCTCAGAGGACTTTCTTGACCACCCAATCTAAAAACTCCATCATTTAATCTTTTTTTATGTGATACGTGTCAATGTCATCATCTGACATTGCATTGTATGTTTGTTTCATTATTTGACATGCTATATTAATCTGTTGTCTCCAAACAAGAATGTCAGTTTCAACAATGTAGGGACTTCCTCTGGCTTAGTTATCACTCTATCTTCATTATTTAGAACAGTACCTGGCACAGGTAGGTGATCAGTAAATATGTTTTGATTAAAAGATCATATGGATGTACCATTTTAATAATTAATGAATTATAATTGATATTTATAATTCTGACAATTTTTCCTATTATGAGTAATTATGTCATGAACATGTGCATAAGTAAATATACACACCCTATATTTGTTTCCTAAGATTTAGGAGTCAAAAGATACAATACAATCATTTTTACGGTTTTTGATACGTATTGCCAAACTGCCTTGCATGAAAAAGTTGTTATATTTTACACCACTCCAGAAAAGAATGAGAGCTACTTTGCTCTCACCTTGCATGACAATGTATATTTCCCTTTTAAACATTGTCATTTTCATAGAGGAAAGATAGTTATTTAAATTTGCCTTTCTTCAATTGTTAGAGGGCAGATATTTTCATACAACTATTATCCATTTTCATTGCTTTTTTTATGAATTGCCTCATGTCCTTTGTTTGTATTTCTACTGATTTTCCCTTATGTATTAAGAGCTCTTTTTCACACAATAAAGTGATTCATTGTCTAAATCATGTTAAAATGTAATTTTTCTCACTTTGTGATATGTCTGAATTTTGATTGCTATGTTTTTCCTTTTTTGTTTACGATGTACAAACTTAAATTTTATATGGTGAAATTAACTAGTCTTGCCCTACTTGGCTTTTCACCTTGCTGTCACCTTTAGAAAGTTTTCCAATCCACTGGTTGAAAAATATTCACCTATTATTTTCTTCCAATATTCAATCTTTAAAAATGCAAATAAAAAATATATTACAGCTGGAATTCATTGGGAGTAAGTTCTGAGTGTGTTGGGGGGGGGAGGGGGTGTTATTGTTTCCTCCCCTCAGCTGGCTACCCAATTGTCCTCCTTTTAATAATTCATCCTTTCTCCACTGATGTGGATGTGAAACTGTGAGATGCCACTGTTTTCATATTAAAAGTACACACACACACACACACACAGGCGTTTTTCTCTTTCACCTTTTAACAAACAATAAGCTTGAACCTGAGCCAATCCCATCCTTGGGCCAATCATTCCTCAGAAACAGAGAAATATGTATTGCCACGCCCAGTAACTAGTTTGATTTTAGTTACCCAGTAATTTGGTTTTAGTACTCGAGTAATACTGGATACACTTAATCAGAGAGAGACTCAATACATATGCCCAAGTCATATCACAACCCAATTTAAGAATGTCCATCCACTTAAGAAGTTGAAGTTGATTATCACTTTAAATAAATGGTCGCGTCTGAAAGATTGACAATAGTGCGCCGGGCATCAGGATTCTCTTCCGAAGGCCCTCGGAATCCTGGACGTGCAGTGAGGAAGAAGGGACACAGGAAAAAGCCATGGTAGGCTCGATCAGATGTAGGGAGAGCGACTCTGCCTGAAGAGCCCATGGAGCTGACGCAAATAGGTAACAGGGCACTCTCTTTAGAAGTCCTCTTAACTATGGTCCCGATTTTGACCGATATCACTTGAGATTTAAATACCCGGAGTGATTTAGGTGCACCAGACAAGAAACTACACAAAACTATTTATAGTTGTTTTGTGGCCTTAGAAAAGCAAAATACTTAACTCCTAAATCTTGGAGAGGAGTTTATAGTCGTGGGGAGAGCGGGGGAGGGAGGGGAAGACCGAGCTTTTCTCTCGGACGTTCTTTTCTAAGCTTGCTCTAGCCATCCACAGTACCTTTGCGTTCTGGGCCGAACCAGATGTCTCAATAGATTTTACCGAAAATACTAAGTGCGGGAGGCAAAGCTGGAAGGAACGAACACCCCGCAACTCTAACCTCTAATAGCTCCCTTGTGTCAGGAGAGGCACTAGCCCAATGAGGAAAGAAAAGACCTAGATCTGGGGTCTTTGTGTGGAGCGGGGCATTTCTGGTTGAGAGCTCAGGTAGTTGGCTCCACCAACGCGTTATCGCCTTCAATGAAACATCTTTATTCGATCTCGTCTTATCCAGGACGCACCTCCCACCCGCGATCCGTTGCGGGATCTCTTTGGTACTATGTTTCATTAACCCCGCAGTCATCGTCCCACTTCCTCGCTAACGGCGACAGTTTTCAGGGTTGGCCCTACGTAACCGCCGCGTCTCCCTAGCAACCGTGTCTCTAATGGCCGCCGGAAGAGGCTTCGATCACGTGCCCGGCGGATTTCCGGGTTTGCAACGTGACTTCCGGTTGTCAGAATTTCTCCAGACGCTGGGGCGGCGGCGGCGGCGGCGGCGGCGGCGGCGGCGGCGGGGGTGGCGAAGCTGTGTGGTCCGAGGTCGCGGTGGCCCCAGTGCTGGTGGACTCCGGGTGGGCTCGCCTCATCCTGCCCCGTGTGCCATGCATCCGCGGCGCCCCGACGGATTCGATGGCTTGGGCTATCGGGGTGGTGCCCGGGATGAGCAGGGCTTTGGCGGCGCTTTCCCTGCAAGGTCCTACGGCACCGCGTCGGACCTGAGCCACTGGGTGACCACTCCCCCGGACATCCCAGGGAGCCGCAACCTGCACTGGGGCGAGAAGAGCCCGCCCTACGGTGCGCCCGCCCCCGCCACCCCGCCCGAGGGCCCCGCGGAGGAGCCGTTTCCCGGCGGCGGCGGCGGAGTGCCGGGCCAGAGCAGCGGTGAGGGATGCGGGTGACAAAGCAGGGGTTTGTGGGGTGGCGGGGCGGCGGCTCGCGGCCTGCGGACCCCGGAAGCCGCGCCGAGGGTCCCGCCCCCGGTGCCTCTCAGCCTAGCGCGCGCCACACCCTCTGCCCTCCCTTCGTCCTCTGCGCCGGAGCGGGCCTCCTCCCTCTTGGTCGCACACTTCGCTCCGGGATCGCCTCCAAAAACGACACCTGCCTTAGCTCGGGGCTGCGCGGGAGGAAGTGCGAAGGGTTTTGGAGTGTGACATCCATGACCTGAATCAAGAAAGAAGGAAATTGGGTTATTTACTGTTTGCTGGGAATATGTGAACAATACTTAATTCCCTCATAGCTCTCTTTCCTTGATTTGATTAGTGAATTGTATCTTTGTGTTCTGGACAGAGAAGTTTTTCAGCATAGGCAGGCTTGGATTCAAACCTGGCCGCTACCACTCTTAGGAAACCACTTCTTAGCTTCTGTGATGGCTCAGTTTTCTTTAAGGTGGAGAGAAGAATAACTCGTAGGGTTCTTTGTGTTAAAGAAAATGAAGTATGAGTAGTGCCTAGTGCAGTATGGAGCACATAGTGGGCTAAAAAATACTCATTTCCTCCCTTTTAATCATAGGAGTTGTGTCTGTTTTCTAGATCGCCAAACTACTCCTATATTTTCCCACCTCCTGCTTTCCTTTTTTGACATAAACCCTCCACTACTAAAGAGTGAAAAACACCGAGACAATTTCAAGATAAGACTTTGGAATCAAGACGTGATTAATTCTCTGTAGGGTGTCTGAAGACCTGTGCTTTAATTGCAACAGTGATGTAGATATTCTTAACATCTTTTTTATTCGTAAAATGGAAGTAGTGGCTGCCTCTTCCTATTCCGCTGAAATTGTTAGAATTATAGATTGTCATTAAATATTAAGTGCATTCTAGGCTTGAGTTTTATTCTCATTTCTTTGATTTTGACTTGGAAGTACAGTAATGTTTATTTGATTTGGATTAACTGGGAGGAATGGACTTTAAGTATAGTCTAGTGAACAAATGAGGTTATGGAGGAGGATCAGTGACTTACTGCGTGTCTTACAATTAGCTTTTCACTCTGCCTGGTTTTCTTTCTGTAGGTTCCAAAAGGAGTACTGGAAAGTTATAAATTAAATAATTCAAAATGCATATATGGTTGCAGCACAGTTATTTTCTTTGGCAGTAAAGTTGATGCTTTTATCTTTTCATAATTTGTGCTTTGATAGTTACAGTGAGGAGGTGCTCTTAATAAAACCACGGGGTTGTTTTTTGGTTTTTGGGAGTTTTTTACAGCAAAGAGGCTGGTGAATGTAATTTGGCAAGGAGGATAGAAGCCTGAGAGACTTACACAGTTACCAATAGTAAACCTTCCTAACACGTTCCAGAAAATATCAAGTGATATTTTCTGTTAATATTAGGGGATGGTCTGTACAACAAAAAGGAAGAAGCGGAAAGGATCTTAATTGGGCTAAAGAAGCTTCTATCTAGCTTTCACATTTTTCAAGGCAAGGGTGAACCAAATAGTTTCCCCAGAGACATGTTTACATGGCCTTGTTCTGACCGTAAGGGAATACTGAGGGCGTTACTTCATCTGAAAGAGCAGAGATGAGAGAGGAGATGGGAGAAGAGAGGAGAGAGAGAGAAAAATTATCCATACCTTGTGAATATTGTATAATAGCTGAAATTTAATGTCTAGTCTCCTGGAGTTGTGATATTTCACCATTATGACTTTGAGTTTTTTTAGTCAAGGAGAAAAATTTTTTTCTGTTTTGACATACGCATAGAAATGTTTCCAGCTGTAAACTTTTCTAAGACTATAGAAATGCCATCGACAGTAGCACAGATATACCCAGTAGCCTATATCAGAGACCTAATTAACCACTTACTCTCAAAATATTTAGAACTTGGGGTGATAGAGAGGGAGAGAGCCTTATTTACCCATATTTTCATTACCTTAAGTACTCTTTCAGTCTAATAATTTTGAGGTGTTTTTCTTGCTGCTATTAGTTTAACATAGATGCTCTCCACCAGTAACAGTGAATGACTAATTTTACAACTCGATAGGTAAAGTTGGTGTTAAGCATCAGTCAGAGCGTCCTATAGAAAGCATCTTAAATTGTTTCTAGTCAGAAGTGGAAAACTGGTAGCCCTTAGATTGGACCTGCAAACAACATGCAAACATGTTGGATTTGGCCCACATGATGTTAACACAATGTTTTAATGCTTTCTAAAATAGTTGCCAGTATTTTAAAGTTGAAAGATAGTATATAAAAATGAGAATCTCTCTTTTAGAAAAATCGCAGCGTAGAAACCCAGGGTCCGCAGTCCCGCGTGGCACCAGTGAATTGGAGCTGAAGAGCAGTTGTGCCGTTAGAAGGCCTGCACCTTGCAACTTGCCAGAGGCTCCAGCAGGGCCCTTCCCTCATTCAAATGACCTGTCTGGCACCATGAGAGTTCAACTTTGGGATCTGAGGTTTAAATGGATGTCATGTTAATAAAAGAAAATATTTTTTGTTGTTTTTACAGTAAACCTAAGTATTGGTTATGAATAATCTTATTCCTTCTGTTTTAGAACAGTTGAATAGATTTGCTGGATTTGGGATTGGACTTGCAAGGTAATGATTTATCTAAAGATTTTTAATTTATTTAAAGTTTTTTCCTTAGTGTAATTTATAGTAATAAATGATTAGTATTGCTTCTTTTAGACTGATTCTTTAGAGCAGTAGATTAAATATTGAATAATATTTTGCAGAAAAAAATTATTTAAAACCTACAACTTGATTTTTTTTCAATAAGGATACACAATAGTCATTCAACTTTAATCACACAATAATTTTTTAAGGAATAGTGTAAGAACTTTCATGAGTCTACCCAAAGAATAAAATAAAATCTGAAATCTAATCTTATCTCCCTCTCTGAAAAAAAGTAGTTGTGCATTGAACATTTTCCCTAAACATTTGAATTATAACAAGACATTTAGCAGCATAGAGTCTAGATTTTGCTTACAGTTAGCATTTAATGAGGACCATTTTTTTAATCCAGCCTTGATTATGTGATCTTTAGTGAATACTGTTTGAAAAACATTGGCATGGCACAAAGACTTAGATTTCATGCCAGAATAGCTCATTGTTTTAAATATTTTAATGAAGAAAAGACCTTATTTGCATAATTAAACCTGAGGATCCTAATATCAATAGAAAAAAAATTGGTATATTGAAGTTTTCCTTCTGCTAGAGTTAATTTTTCGTGAGCCTCACCGTTGATACTTAAAGCTATTGTTAATTTGATAGATTCTTAATATATGTGAGTGGGTGTGTATGTCACAGTTAGTGCTTAAGCCCACAGTTGTGATTAATTTGTGAGAAATGACTTCAGAAGAAATATTTGATACATAAAATAGTGCTCAGTTAACATGGTCATTAAAATCCCTATAACAAGTACAAAGTGCATCAAAATTTATAGAATGGAGTTTATGAAGAACAGATGACTCTTCTGGTGGCAACTTTGCTCATAGGACATCTTCTGAAAAAAATGCAAAGGGGCATTTAAATTGTCTGAGAAAGAAGTTTACCATATCAGGCATACGGAGATGTGGTTTCATCTTTATACTGTACATATTAGTATTATATATTGTTTCCATTGCTTACCAGTTTGCAATTCTTGTTTTAATTCTTTTCATATTGAATTTTGTTATTGGTAGAATGATTGACAAACATGTCTAGCATTTAAAACTTTTCTTTTTACTTTTAAGAATACTGTATGATTAAAATAATGCATGTTTCTTCAAGCAAGAGTAATTTCAGATACACATATGTTGTAAATTAAATTTGGCTGTATTATATATATATAAACTATTCTTATATAGTCTCTTTACAGAAAATGTACTGGCCCATCCTTGCATTGTTCTCCGCCGCCAATGTCAGGTAAATGTCCTTTCTGTGACCTTCAAAACAGTAATCCTAACCCTAATTTGAAGTAGAGAACTCAGATAAATGACTGAGACCATGTAACCCTTATTCCATGTGAAATGTACCAAAATCTACAATATGTCAGTTCGTAAACTTTTGGGTCTTTGACATTTCTTGTCTTAAAAATTATTGAGCTCACCAAAGAACTTTTGTTTATACAGGTTATATCTATCAATATTTCATTTTGTTTCAGAAATCAAAACTGGGAAAATTTTAATATATATTTCTTTAATTCATTAAAAATAATAGTAAACCCTTAGATAGTAACATAAATAACATTTTTGTGAAAAATAACTATTTTACTTTTTTGCAAATATCTGTGATGTCTGGCACAATGGAAGACAGCCAGATTTTCACATCTGCCTCTGCAGTCCATCTGTTGCAATGCATTGTTTTTGAAAGAAGTGAGAAAGTCTAGCCTTCTACTCATGTGTATTTGAAAATGGGAGTATTTTATATCTTTTCCAGATAATTGGCAGATATTCTTTGATACTACACCAAAACTCAATAAATTCTAGTTTCTTAAAGGTTATTTGCAATGTGAAGTCTGAAACCACATCAATTAACTTTTTATACTCTATTAACAATAAAATCTATTGATCTATACTGCATGTTGAATGGATTTTTTACCCATGCATGATTCTGTTATATTATGCATTGATTAATTGAAAAATATTAATTTACTGAGTTATATAGATCTTCCAAATGTTACTGTGTTTGATTCTCAGTGTCAAAAAAACACCATCATTAAAATCACTACTTATGTCACTGGAAAAGTGTTTCGGTATTGGTAAACTCTTGATGGTGGATACAGGTTTTCCAGCATTCTAATTTTTGCTGGTAAACTCAAATTTATCATTGGCAACAAATACTATCCTTTTTTTTTTTTTAGTCATCAAGCTCAATTTGTTCATTTTTAAAAACCTGTCTGTCCCAAGGGTGGAGAACTATAGTCTGCCAGTTTTCCCAGAAGAAATGGTGTTCCATGAAAAAAGTGGCTAGTTCAGCTTGCAACTCCCTCAGACAAGTGCTTTTCCTCGACAGCCATCTTACTTCATTATGCAACACACAGAATGTTAATTAGATGATGTGTACTCAAGAGTCAAGAGTTTATAAAATTAATATATTTTACTGCTTCACCAAGGACATTCTTTAGTGAAAGTGGCTTTTTCTCATTACAAATGAGTGGGACAAAGAATACAATAAGTACAAAAATATATTTTGGTGCCATTGCTTTGATCCATGCAATTTTACCCACCATTGCTTTTGCACTATTGAAAATGTCAACATAATGAAAAAGGCAAATAATGTCTTAGTATTGAAAAAATAATTTTAAACTTGCCAATCTCCTGAAAGGGTAATGAGGCCCTCAGGGGGTCGGTGGACCACACTGTGGCAGAAGTCCTGTAATATAACTTATCTTTGAAAATTGATTTAGAAAGGATATAAATAATTACAAATTAAGCTGTTCATGCTTAGCGCCAAAAAATAAGTATATAGAGAGAAATAGCCATTTAAATAGCATGACCAGTATAAATGGCCCAGAAGAGTAAATTTCAGACATATTTTACATTATATCAATATTACATTGGGATCCAGTGTTTACATATATATGAGTAACTTAAAAAAATCTTTTATGAAATAATACCTTCAGAATGTGTGATGCATTCTGATACTTTCTTTTTTATTATTTCACTTAATAAGTATTGGTTCTGACCCTCTTTACTGATTTAATAATTTACCAATTGCTGTAGTGTATAGTTTGAAAAATACTTGCCATTGGGGACACGAATCTCCTATTCCCTGAGTTCTTTGTGGTTCCTGTGTGTTAAATGGCATGGGTGTTTTGCCACACTGAATGTAATTCTAGTGTTTAAGGAAACTTAAATATCAAACACCAAGGACTTTTTTATTATATAGTCTAGATTACTATGTATATTGTGCATTGGTCTTCAGAATTGTATTTATTTAACCATATGTACTGTACTTTTAATAAGTTATTTAAAGCATTTTCAATAGTAATTTTGCTTATGTGTAATTTATGCTGACTTTAGAATTGAACTTTTTTTATGATGTGACTCCACTGTGTATCTTTCATGGCCTCGTTATTTCTTGACAAAATAAGAGAAAATCATCATGAAATATCTCTTTTTACAGGTTAATTACCACGCTCGACATTATCATCTCACTCCATTTACAGTCATCAATATTATGTACAGCTTCAACAAAACTCAGGTGAGAATTAGTCTGTAGATTCATTAAATTTGTTTATAATGAAAGTACTATTTGGGGGCCAGCCCCATGGCCAAGTGGTTAAGTTCACGTGCTCCGCTTCCATGGCCCAGGGTTTCACTGGTTCAGATCCTGGGCAAAGGCCTAGCACCACTCATCAGGCCATGCTCAGGCAGCGTCCCACATAGCACAACCAGAAGGACCTACAACTAGAATGTACAACTATGTACTGGTGGACTTTGGCAAGAAGAAGAAGGAAAAAAAAAGTTTGGCAACAGATGTTATCTCAGCTGCCAATCAAAAAGAAAAAGTACCGTTTGGCCTTAGTAATAATTAAAGCAACAATCATTCCTTTTAATTTGGTTAATAAAAATATCTTAATTCTTATACTAAAACTAATGTAACACGGTAATGACACCTGTTTGATGTCACTGAATAATCAATGAATTCACACCTTGCTAAAATTAATTAAATATTAGAGATATTTAATCTATATTAGAGATATTTAGCTAATTGCAGTGTTCATCTTAGCCTAACATTGGCCACCTGGCAAACATTAAAATAATGATAGGAATTAATTTAGTTGTAGTTCTCTACTGAAATGTGCTTTAGAATAATGCCTTATTGGAAAATATCAGTAAACATTCAATAGTCAAGTTTTATTAAGACCTTTTTTGTGTTTCTTATTTAGGTGTTAACAAAAATAACAATAAATTTTGTTCATTTTAGGGACCAAGGGCCCTTTGGAAAGGAATGGGAAGTACATTTATTGTCCAGGGAGTCACACTTGGAGCAGAGGGAATAATCAGTGAATTCACACCTTTACCAAGGTACCTTTTTTGGCATTTTCTCAATATTAGATTCATATTAAAAAATTAGAAAATATGATAGTTTCTAAACATACCTTGAATATGACTTGCCTGAAGTAACTAAGAGAAGAAACAGAGAATAAAGTTTAATTAATTAATTATGTCTTATTGAATTAGTGTATGATACAGAAAGTACTTCCTGGTCTGGTATCTATTGAGATATGTCTTTCAGCTCCAACTGCTATGTGTTAGCAACTGTCAACTAAGAAACAAACATGAGTATGTGAACAATTCTCGCACTTTTAGCCAATTTGGTGAAGGAGACACATGTAAGCAAATTATAGTACACTGTGATTAGTGCTGTAATTAAAGTCCTTTCAGAGCCCAAGGGACACTTTACATGGAGTTACTGGCAAGCTTTCACAAAAGACCTAAAATCTGAGCCAGATCTTGAATGAGTAGGAATTGACTTGGCAGAGAAGGAGAGCATTCCAAGTCGAGGTGACAATGTGCCTAGTTTTATGGAGGTTGAAGATCTAGATAATAAATGTCTTGTGCTTGGAATATTGGGCATGTATGGAGTGGAATAACAGGAAAAGAGGCTGAGATGCTAGATTGAAGCATGGTTGTGCCTTTGTAAGGGACTTAGGCTTTATTCTCTATGGAGTTGAGAATCTAAGGATTTTTTTGTTTGTTTCTCTTTTAGTACATGAGTGCTTTGATGAAGTATATACTCAAGTGGCAGTGTAAATAAAAGGACTGTGTAGACAGAGACTTGGAGAACTGTTATAGTAATCTAGGCCAGACTTAGAAGGTTCTGAACTGTAGAATAGAACAGAAGGGGATGAGCTGGAATATAATTAATAATTGGTGATAGATTGGGAATGGAGGTATGGGAGAATGAATTGTCAGCAGTGACTAGATTTCTAGAATGGAATCGAGTTGGCATATTCGTGAAGAAGAATAAGTTGGACTAGGAAAGAAGATAAGGAATCTGACTTTCAACAGTGAAGTGTGAGATTCCTGCAAGACATATAAGGGGACCTATCTAATAAGTGGTTAGAACTGTGGATCAGAGTCTTAGAGAAAATTTGAAGTTGGAGGCCTAGCTTTGAAAGTTGTGGCATAAAAGTAGCAGTCGAAGCATTAGGATGGATGAATTTCCCTAAAGAGAAAATGTAGACTAAATGACAGAAAGTGGACCAAGGACAGAATCCTGGACAATGTATGATTGCACATGTGTGTGCCCTGCATGTGTGGTAGGAGAGGTAGTTGAGGGGAGTAATAAGAGATGCTCACAAAACAAACTGAAAATAGCAGTAAGCTATAGAACAATAGTGTCCTAGAGGCCAAGAGAGGAGAATTAGAATTGTAGATACATTTGGAGGGGGAGGGTAGAGAAGTTGGGGAATTTGCTTCTGGGTCTGTTTTTCTCTCTGAAACAGGATACACAGTCATTAGGTAAAAGAAGGATGAGCATTAGAGTCGAAGTAGAAAAGCATCCTAAATGTTTGGGACAGTCACAACTATGTATAACAGAAAGGGAACCTTACAAGGAATATGAAAGGAATGTTAATAGATAATACTGGAAATCATAAATTGGTTTAGGTGCTATTTGGCAGGACTTTGTGATTTTCCCTATCAATACTATATCTCAGGGATAGTATTAAAGACTTAGAATGGTTTGTTAATCCAAAGTTGGCCCCTGGCAGGGTGAATCTCTAGATTGACAAGGAAGTGAGGTAGTTGAAGGTACTGCCACTAGTGTCTCAATCTTGGAATTCAGTCTTTCTAGGGAAGAAAATGAAAGCAAGAGAGACTGATATCAGGCTTTTTGCCAATGTGATTGATTTGAAAGGACCTCATAGTCTTGAAGTTCTTTTAACACAGGTTTGTTAAATGTTAAAAGCAAAACAAAACATTTGGCCAGCTAAAAGTTTCCCCTCTCATACTTAAAAAATCTGAATTCCTGCTCTTGGCTAACTTTATTCACCCTATTGCTTTTTATATCACAGAATAAGATCAATAGTTAGTACTTGTCATCAAATGTTCTTGAAGTTCTCCCACAAACACAAAATTCTATAAAAATTTAACAAAATTCCAAAATTTCCATATGGTAATGTGTAAAGAATTCTGTATTTGCAGTGAGAACACCATTGGTCCTGGCTACCCCACTTTTTACTTCTGGGACCCTAGGCAAGTAACACCATTTCTCTGAAGCAGAGATGAAATAGTAACTTTAACTTCAGGTTGAAGAGAAGGAGAAAGAGAAATGGGAATGGAAAGGCACAGAATTTTATTATATTTTAGTATCTAACTTTCTTACTCTACAGGCATATGGACATGTCAATTGTGTGAGTATGTATTTTCTCTTGGTCATTTTGAACCTTATTAAAGAAGACACAAAAGATTACCTTTGTTGTGTTCTACTTGGATAATTTTGGTGATAAATCCATCCCACTCATTAATTCATTTATTTACTTAGCTAATATTCCTGAGTACCTACTGTGTGTTTGTTCCTATGCTGGAAATCAGGTATACATTGAGGAGAAGAAACAAAAGGTACCTGTGACCATGAAGCATAGAATCTAGTGTAAGGGACATAAGTAAAATAATCCCGGTAATGAATAAATAATTGCCAGTTGAGATTTGTTCTCGGAAGGAAAATAATATGGTTCTATGAGAGTATTGAAGGGTTAGGAACAATGTCCCTAATAAAATGACACTTAAGCTGAGATCAGAGTGGTGATGAGAAGGCACAGACCAGTTGATGTAAAGACAGTGTGGCAGGGGAATCTGGAGAATTTGAGTAACTGAGAGAAGTTCATGTGGCTGGAGCTCAGAGAGCAAGATGGAGAGCAGTATGAGAGAGTGCTGAAGACGTAGGTAAGAGCCAGTCTATATGCATGGCCTTGTAGGCTGCTTTAAGGATATTGGAGAGTTTAAGCAGGGGTCAATGATGTGATCAGATTTATGTTTTTCAAGGGTCAGTGTAATTGGAGATGAAAAGATTACGGGAGGATCAGAGTAGATAAAAGGATACATGTTCATAAGCTATAACAATAAGCTAAGTGAGAAATAATAGTGGCTAAGACCAGAGTGGTATCTTCTGAAATGGACGTACGGGGTTAATTTTGAAATATATTTAGGTAAAATTGGTGGAACTTGGTGATGGATTAGGGATGGTAGATGATAGAGAAGGAAGTGTCCAGGATGACTTCTAGGATTTTCGCTTGTGTAACTGGATGTCAAATAAAGCCATTCTTTGAAGTGGAATGTAAACTGTTTTTTTTTAACTCTAACTTCTTTGGGTAGAGTTGAGCTTTCTTGGGGGAAATCAAGATCATAGCAGACAAGGCAGCAGAGCAGTAACCCAGAGCAATTCACCGAAGTTACTGTATGAGGAGGATGAGCTCTAGGGTCTCCTAGACTGAGCTTCCTCAGTTGTACAGTGATCACTCGGTCCAACAGGTGAGACGCTATCGATTCGCCAATATTTAGTTTTTTAATAGTGATTATGAGAGAAAAAGAGCAAGTCTATGGTGCCCATTAAGTCACCAAGCTTATAGTTTTTCAGTATTATTACTTTTAAAAATATGTATATAACCCTAGAGCATCATCTGTGATCTCTTCCTTAATCTCTGCCCAGACCTCTCCCAAATCCTTCTGCCAACCTTCCCCCAGGTGGAGTGAGTTAGGTTATCTGTCGCTCTACCCAGAAGTACCCTTTACTTTTCGGGTGGTGTTTCTCAAATCATTAACATAAGAAACACCTGTAACCGAGGCTACCTGCGTAGTTTAGCCTCTCACAGAACCCAATGGTTGAACTCCAATTTAGTTTGACATCTCACATTTGCAGTTGAACTAATATAAGCATCGTACAGTTTTTCTCCTCATGTTGTCTGTTTTCCTAATAACTCCTCTGAATTCACTGACTTTAAACACATTTTATTTTAAACACAATGAAATCTTTCTCCAACTCAATAGATTTCCTTTCTGATCAATAGTTTCTAAATAGGGAACATTAAAAGAGTCTAAGAGTAGGAAAGAAAGATCATAAGTTTAATTTTGGACAAATTCATTTTCATATGCTTTGCCATATCCAGGTGGAGTTGTCAGTAAACAGATGATGTATAAGATTGACATACAGAGAAGTCTAAACAGAAGATAAGAGATTTGGGAGGTTTTGAAGCCATCATCTTGGATGAGATTGCCTAGGGAAGGTGTATAGCGTGTAAAAGAAGAAAAGGAAAGGGCCTGAGCCTTTAGGAACTCCAGATTAGGGAGTTAGACTTGGTTAAAACAAGTGCTCCTGCAAGTAGACACCAGAAGAGAGGAGAAAAACCAGAAGAGCATAGGATAGTGGAGTACTGGGACAGAGTGGTTCAAGAAGGAGAGGGGAACATGAGTGCCAGACGGCTGCTGAAAGGGCAAATTAGGTAGACTTAAAAACGTCCATTGGATTTAGTGACATGGAGGTCATGGGGACCTTGGCAGGAGCTGTTTTTATGGAATGATGGAGTTGAAGCCAGTTTGAAGTGGATTCAGAGGTAAGTGGGAAGTTAGGACATGGAAATAGCAGGTGTAGAAGATTGGCTGTGAAGAGGAGAAGTGAAGAGAAGTAGCTGGAAGATGAGGGGTTTGAGCTGGGTTAAGGGAAGATTTTTTTTTTAAGAGGGCAGCTAGTTTAGCCTGTGAAAATGAGAGACAGTGGAAAGTAAAGACTGCTTAAATATAGAGTTATTTAAAAATTCTTTTGCTTTTGTATATTGATTATGCATGGGAGGATGTATATTAATCTATCAAATGGAAAACTATTTTGAGAAAAAGCAAGCCACTTCTCTTAATTTTTGTTGCTCATTTGAAGGGCAGTTTTTCTTGTAAAATTAGTGAATTAAATGTATTTACGTATGTAATATGTAATTTACATATGTAATGTATTTACATATGTAAATACATTTGCTTTGAATATTTGATAATGAAATATAAAAAGATTTACTCACAAGTAGATTTTAACATGACTGTTTCCTGAAGCATTTAAATGTGCTAATTTAAATTTCTAGAGCTATGGCAATAAGTTTTATTTTATAAAAGAGTAGAGAACAGATACAAGGAAGAGAGTCTCAATTTTCTTATGTCTTGATTCTAAATTCATTTTTAGCTCTTTTACCTTAATGATCTTAAGAATTGGCAGTTGTGGGGCCAGCCCTGTGGCCAGCTGGTTAAGTTCATACTCTCCACTTCAGCAGGCCAGGGTTTTGCCAGTTCAGATCCTGGGCGCAGCCATGGCACCACTCATCAAGCCATGCTGAGGCGGCATCCCACATGCCACAGCTAGAAGGACCCACAACTAAAAATACACAACTATGTACAAGGGGGCTTTGGGGAAAAAAGGGAAAAAGAAAATCTTAAAAAAAAAAAAAAAGAAAGAATCGGCAGTTGTAATTAGTATTATATTCAAAGGAGACGTGACCCCGTCCTTACAGAAACACCGCTTACAGACCCGTCTGTTCATAATGTTAATGACAGCTTCATGCTTAAAATCAATGTCATAATCACCTGTGGTAATACTTTCTGAGGCCATGATAAGAGTAATAGTAGTACCCAGTTGATTCACAAGCCATTCACAAAACATATTTTGTTTTATAATCATAAAGTCACCATCAGTAACATGGAAGGCCTAATCTTTTTTCCGTTTTTTCTCTTAATCACTGAATGTCATTCCAGCTATATTTTTCTATGGTTGTTCAGGCATAATTATAGTATTCTAGTACTAATTTAACCAGAATGTGACCCAGAAGGCTCTCTAAGGTCTTATAAATCAGAGATGGTTGTTGTATTGTCTAAAGTTTCTCTGCAGACTTTTCAGCCTCTTAGAAAAATGTAGGGAAGTTTGCATACCACCCATGCTATAACTGTACTGTTTGTTTTTAGAGTGCTTATGTTATTAGTGATTCATTTTCTTCACCTGTTTAATATAAAATGTATTTATTCCTTTGTCTCCTTACATTTGTCTTATTCACTCATTTCAAATAGAAAATGTTTTTCTCAGGTTCCACCGTGGCCATAGTGCAGTGGGTGCCAATTTCATGAGGGGAGCAGGTGGCAGCGAGACTCCTCTCTAGTTTACACCTCCCTCCCTGTTATTCTGCTGTTATTATTATTGTTGTTGTTATTGTTATTCTCTATTATCCCTCCCTACTCCCCCCTCATACCCTCTATCTGCCTTTTCATTTTTTTCTGCCTCCTTCTTTACTTTCCATGCTCTTTTCTCCTTTCTGACTTTTCTCTTGATATAACTTTCTCCCTTTTTGTTCTTTTTTCAGTTTGCCTCTCTTCTTTTCCTTCTTTCTTTTTGGTTTCCCAAGGTAACCTAACTAGCAAGACACGCACAGTCCTCGACCTTAGCTCCAGACCTGGCATTTGCCCGTCTCCTTTGAACATCGTTTTGACCTTCATTTTTCGCATCAATAAAACAAATGCGACCATACCTGCTTATCTCACAGGTTTCCCTCGTGTATCAAATGAGGTGAGAGGCAGTGCAGGCAGAGAGGGCAGACTTCAACTCAGAGACCCGGGTTTAGAACCCAGTTCCGCCACTAACTAGTTGTATGGCTTTGGTCAATTCTGAACCTTCTCTGAGCCTGTTTCCTCAGCTGTGAAATGGGGGTAAGGGGATCATTGTCAGGGTTAGAAATAATCTAACAAAGCAATTTGCACAGTGCCTGGTACATACTAGGTGCTCAGAAAGATAGCAGAATATAATGAAGGTCAAAAAGTTAATGTCCTCACAATTAAAGGCACTTTGGAAATTAGGTGCTACACAAATGTAATGTGTCATTCTGCTTTACAGTTGCTTAATTTTGTTTTGGTTTTTAATTCTCATTCTTACACTCTTCTTGAAGCTTTTTTCTTCCTTTCTTCTATTCCTTGTTTCCCTTTCCTTTCCTCATTCATTCTTTTTTCCTCAGGCTATAATTTTTATATCTCCTCTTTTAATTTCTCATGTTCATTTTTATAACCAGTTATAACTCTTCCTCCTCTGTCAGCCCCTTCTATCAGCACATATAAAAGCACCTTGTATATTTTTTCTCTTTTCAAACCACTACAGTTGTTTGAAGTGTGTCCCAGAAAGGAAACTGTTCACCAGTAGAATATATTTCTCCTACACATTTTTTTAAAAAAAATTGATTACCTTTTTGAAAATTGGACTAATTCAAGATGTTTTAAATAACATGGATTTTGTTTTATTTAAATTTATTTTTTAGGGAGATTTCGCATAAATGGAATCCTAAACGAATAGGAGAGCACCTTCTACTGAAATCGTAAGTATCAGAGAGGCATTTGTATTGAAAATTTCCATAATTTTTATAGTTTTAGAACTGGAAATAAAATCCTGTAAAATAAGTATGCTGAAGGAAATTAGAGCAATAAAATATTTGTGGGACCAGAACTTCAAGAGACAAGTAACATAGAGTTTAGGAATAAAATCCTGAAATATTTATTGTCTTTAAAATATGTCTAATTTAAAAAGCTGAAATCACAACCTAATTTTTCTTTATGTTCTTAGGAAATAGCAAAGGTCTTCAACTTGTTTAACCCAAATTGCCCAGAAAATTATTATCATTATTATTTTAGTATTAAGCTGATACAAATATATTTATATGAAGATGAGCAAACTCAAAACCTTAGTGTCATTAAAATGTAGTCCTAAAGGCGCTTAGTGATTTTACAACACTGATGATTTTTATAGATTAGACTTTTACTCTTCACTTTTTAATTTTTTTTGAAGATTGTGAATTGGAAACCCCCCAGCTTGCTGGCTCCCTCTGTGGGACATTCCAGCACATTATTACTTAGTGATGTTCCATTCACCTTGAAAACCACTCCTTGCCAGGACCTGGCCCATAGGGTTAGGTAAGTCCCACCTTGATATTATTTCATGTAACTATATTTTGCAGGCTTGCAAGGTTGTAATATTACTTTGTGTAAATTAGCGGTGATGGGAAACAACTTTGCAAAGCTGTACAATATTGTTTCTTAATAATAAAAGGGGACTTCACTCACCATTGAAGACTGGCTTAGCTCTGCTGGGTGGGAAATCTGGGAATGGATAATGATAATAGATAGAATAATAGCAGAAAAGGCAAGCAATGGAATGAATCCCTCATCCTAAATTTTAAGTATCAGATTTATAGGCTACATTAGCTATGTGCAGATAGATTTCCAAACAGTGAATCCTAAATGAGCCTACATTCTACTGGTTTAAAATAAAATCTATTTTCTTTGCAGACTATGCTGTTAATACTTAATTTTTTTCATCTCTACTTGTTGAATGAAGCATCCTATGTTACAGGTCTCTGAAGTGTCTTTAGGCTATAGGTATTAATAGTTGGAAAGCTTAAAAATATCATTCCGGCTTGAATATAAATTATGTTGATATCTTGAAGTAGATATTTAAAAATTTAGTGTCAGCATCTTATTTCAGTATACTGATAAGTTTGTTTTAATTTCTACAGCCTAACCTATGTGGTGGCAATGCCTTTTTATTCAGCAAGTCTAATTGAAACAGTACAGGTGAGCTATTTTTTATTGTCACTTTTTAGGTAAAAAGTGCTTTTTGAAATATTCAATACATTGTGTATGTCTGATTGTAAAACAGAAAAATTTAAGACAGTATCCTTCTAAAATTTTTATTTCACAGTTACCACACATCAGAGATTTTATACTAGGCACATTGCCAGCGTGTGTATTTCCTTTGCAAACTTACTTCACATTTCTAGTTTTAATTGTTTTTATCTCTTCCATAGGCAGCTGTACTCCTTATACGGATATTTCAGAATGCAGCCTATGACTTGCTCTGAATACAAAGAATCTATAGTTGTTGGGTTTTTCCAACTTTTTAAGATCTTCATGTATAACTCAAATGGTTATGACTTATCGTAGAGCAATAAATTTCTAATTACCTGAGCATAAAGCATGATGGGCAGTCATCCTGACAGTGAGTAGGTAGTCCCTGTAGGTAGTTTACTAACAGCATTTTTTTTAAATATGCTTTCTGAGGAACATTTGATGCTTGGTGTATTAACTACGACAGAGCTAAAGCAATCTCCTGCTAGCGTTTTCAATTGTTTTACTATTTCCAACCACATGGTGGCACCTCAAGTACATTGAATTAATGTACTTTCTCACCATACCGTCATTCCTATGCTTAAACCGGTAAGGTGAAGATAGTTTTGACTTCACCTATACACAAAAGCCAACTATTTGTATACCACCTATCTTCTATCTCCAACATCATATCCTCAAGCAGATTTCTTGTCTTCCGTATGTCGGAGTTCCCTCTGTAGAAACCTCATTGGATCAGCCTTTCCTCTTCTAATTATCTTTTCCACTTAATTGCTTTTCTGGCCCCATTGTTGGTTTTTTATTTATTTTTAGAATTAACTTCAGTTAACTGAAGTAAACATCTTGCTAACCAAATATACTTTCCTCTTCCCTTACATTTGGCATTGTGTTAAATAAATGATATAATCTTTGTATGGAGCTGCAGTTTACACAGTTACAACTCTGTGAGAAATACTCATTTTATAGATAAGGAAAAAAATAGCAGAAAGGTAATTGTTTAAGGAAAAACAACTAAACCTCATGATATACTGGGGGAAACAAGTTTTACCTTTAGACTCATGTCAGAATCACATTTCTCTACTTAAATTAGATCTGTGACTTTAAAGAAATGTCTTAACATTTCTAAATCTTAATTTTCTTATCCACAAAATGGGAATAGTATTTTAATGACTGAGTTATAAAAATTAAATGAATTATGTAAAGTGCCCAGCTCACTATATGTCAGTTTTGTTTTTCGTTTTTTGGGGGTTTTTTTGCTGGGAAAGATTTGCCCTGAGCTAACATCTGTTGCCAATCTTCCTCTTTATTTTTCCCTCCCTAAAGCCCCCCAGTACATAGTTGTATATTCTAGTTGTAAGTCCTTCTAGTTCTTCTATGTGAGCCACCACCACAGCATGGCAACTGACAGACAAGTGGTGTGGTTCCACACCCAGGAACCGAACCTTGGGCTGCCAAAGTGGAGCACGCCAAACTTTAACCACTAGGCCATCAGGGCTGGCTCTAACATCCAGCCCCTATTTTCCTGCTCCAGGTTCCACCTGCTGCCTCCTTTTGACTCCTTTTGTCTGATTTTCCGTGCTCCTTTTTTCCTTCTTAGATTTCTACTCTCTTAAACATTTTCCTCTTGTTTTAGTAACCTCTTTACCATTTCTTCTGTTGTACTCCAAGGCATAGTCCTTGACCCTCTCTGCATTTTATCCTTTATTCACTATCCTGGAGAACTCATTTACTCTTATGAATCATTTTAACTTTAATCTTTATGTGAATCAAATCATTGTTACCTCAGACTCAACTCATAAAAATAATCTCATCTTATTTCCCTGAAAATTCATTAGCTTCCTTTTGAGCCTCTCCTTTTCTGTTAATGGTATTATTACTATCTTTACCCTAAAGACTCAGAACTTTAGTTCTGGTTTTTAGGAAAGTCTTGATTTTTGTATTTCTTTCATCCATCGTGCCTCGTGCTTTCTTACTTCTAGTTGCAACAAGTATCTGAGATTTGTCTGTTCCTCCCCACTGATAGGCAGCTCTTCTCATCCCTTCTTTACTATACACTCAGCTTATTAGATTAGCTTCTTTCTTCCTACTTCATGTTCAGTGGTCTTTTTTGTCCTTCTGGGGAGCTCAGATCTCTTTGACAACATTCTTTCCCCTGAAAAATATGCATTTATACGTATATCTTCTGGAGCCCTTAAATATGAACCTCCTAGTGATCTGTGTTCTTCACTGAGAATCCTTGTTCTAGTCCCTGCATTTTAAAGTCCATTCTACTCTTTTAAGATTACTGTTCTTAAGTTGCAATACTGTATCCTATGCTGATTAAGGATCCATGTTGATTCATATTCCCTGGGATCAATTTCAGACTTCTCAGCATAAAATTAAATCAAGGTTTTTATTGACTTCATTTTACCTTTCCAGTTAATCTTCCTTAACTGCTTATTTTTTTTAACTCATTAAATATTTTTTGAGTGCCAGCTTATATTAGGCACTGTTGTAGACCCTGGGCATACAGCAGCAAACAAGACAAACTAAAATACTCTGCCCTCGTAGTACTTATATTCTTGTGGGAAAGACAGAGATAGAGAAGATAAATATAAGGTATACTAGATGGTGCTAAGTGCTAAAGAGAACAAAATAAAGCAGGGAAATTAAGATGTGTAATGGGTGGGGAGGGTCAGCTGCTATTTTTTAAGATCAGGAAAGACCTCACGGAGAAGATGACATTTGAGTAAAGGTCTGTACGTAAGAATTACATGGATATTTGGGAGAAGAACATTCTAAGTGGAGGGCCAGTAAGTGCAAAGGCCTTGAGGTAGGATTGTATCTTATGTGTTTGAGAAGCAAAAAGGAGGCCAATATACTGGTAGCTAACTAAGCAAGGGGGAGAACAGGAGAAGATGAGGTCTGAGGGGTAAGAGGGGAGAGATGGTACACGGCATTGTAGACCATTGTAAGAACTTGGCCTTTACTTTGAGGGAGATGAGAAATCTTTGGTGTGTTTGAGCAGAAGAGTGATGTGATCTAACTTATGTCTTTATTAAGATCTCTTTGGCTGCTGGATTAAAAGTAGTCTGGAGTGGGAAGAGGGCCAGAAATAGGGAAATGGATTAGGTTAAGTGAGCTTATTTTTGTCTCATGGTTTTAAATATATTCTGCTTACTGAAAACTCTCACATTTGTATGTCCAGCTTCGACCTTTTCCTTGTAGTCTAGATTGTAAATTCCACTTGGAGTTTATACCTTAGACTTAACATTTCTGAAATCTTGATCTTCTCTCCCATATTGCTACCCCGGTAATATTTCCCAACTCAGTATAAAGCACTGCTGTTCCTCCACTTCCTCTCCAACAGCCTTGAGGTCCTCCTTGATTCTCTCTTTCATATCCCAAATCGAATTCACCAGTAATTCCTGTTGGCTGTAACTTTAGGATAAAAGCACAATTGAAGCACTTGACCTCCATTGCTACCTGCTAATCCTGTCTACTGTCATATCTTTTCTGGATTATGCAATAACTTCTTTACTGGTTTCTCAGCCTCTGCTCTTCTCTTCTGCACAACTGCCAGTATAACATAAATTATGTCTTGTCCATATTCTGCTTAGAACCAACCAGTTATTTCCCATCGGACTAGAAGCCAGTGTACACTGTGACATGATATGGCCCCTGACTACCTTTTTAACTTCATTTTATACTGTTCTCTTCTTCAGTCATTGCTGCAGCCAAATTGGCCTTTTAGCTGTTCCTTTTCTGCCTGTCCATGCTTCTGTAATCTGTTTGACAAACTTGGTTATACATGTCCCCCAAATTATCAAAAGGCAGAGAGATTGCAGATGATAATGGCTGACATTTATTGAGTGCCTTTTGGGTGCTAGGCCTTTTTTCATTTAATACTCCCAGCAACTCTGTGCCTAAATGGTAGGCAGCACTAATCCCATGTTTATAGAATGATAAACTGACTCTTAGGAGAAGTTAAGTATGGTCACGTAACCAGTCAGTAGTGGAGGCAGTTTCAACCCATTCCTCAGAACTCTAAGCACTGTACTACCTCTTTAGGTGGCACGTGATTGTTGCTTTTCAAAATGAGTTCTAAGGAGCTTCTTGAGGGTGGGGAAACGAGGCAGGTCCCCCTCTGCTTCTCCACTCCAGTTTCTCTCCCCCAGTAAGAATAGCTCCCAGCTTCACTGCTGTCTGTTTTATGAAATTTTCATTGGAAAAAAGAATTTAATGCCTAGATAACATTTGAAGTCTGCAAACCATTATGTTTTTCCTCTTTAGTCAGCAAATTAAGATTTAAAAGGAACCTAAAAGGAGGTCCTTTTTTGTGGCAAAATAAGCAAATGTTAACTTTTATTCATTTCCTCCTTTTTATTTCAGAGTGAGATAATTCGAGATAATACTGGAATTTTGGAATGTGTTAAAGAAGGAATTGGAAGAGTGATAGGCTTGGGAGTGCCTCATAGCAAACGACTGCTGCCGCTGCTCTCCTTGGTCCTCCCTACGGTGCTGCACGGGCTTCTTCATTACATCATCAGCTCAGCCATTCAGAAGTTTGTCCTACTGATTCTGAAGAGAAAGACTTGTAACAGCCACCTAGCTGAGAGCACTAGCCCGGTACAGAGTATGCTGGATGCTTATTTTCCAGAACTTATTGCTAACTTTGCTGCCAGTCTTTGCTCTGATGTTTTACTTTACCCACTGGAAACAGTTTTGCACCGCCTTCACATTCAAGGAACACGCACAATAATTGACAACACAGACCTTGGCTATGAAGTGCTTCCAATTAATACACAGTATGAGGGGATGAGAGACTGTATCAATACCATAAGGCAGGAGGAAGGAATGCTGGGTTTTTATAAAGGGTTTGGTGCTGTTATAATACAGTACACACTGCATGCAGCTGTTTTACAGATTACCAAAATTATTTACTCTACACTTCTTCAAAATAGTGTTTGAGATTTAGGTTCCTGGACAGTCTAAAAGACATAATCTGGATACTTTGTTATGAAATTATGAAGGACAAAAGTGAAATACTGGAGGGGGATATGGATTAGAAAGTGAAACTGGTAGAAAAAGCCCATGCTAATTACATTGACTCTTCCCTTTTTTTTTTTTTTAAGACAGGTATATATTTTGGATCAAAAGTATTCCAAATTTGAAAATTCAATAAAAATAACACTCATGAATTAAATTCTAACTAGTATAGCACTCATGCTGAGCTAAAAATGATGTTGGGCAGAAGCAAAAATTTGTCAACAAACATATAACAAAATTTCACAGAGCTGAATTTATTCCATCTGACTTTAACACTTTTCACGTTATTGCACCTTCTAGATTGACATTGGTATGTCATCCTTAATATTATGTTATCAATGAAAAAGACGAGAAGGATTAGATTTGACAAGCTATAAGCAGGAGTTGAAGCATTTTAAATTGCATTGTCCCCATATAGCTTTTTAATGGCTGTATTATTGTATAAAGCCATTTATGTACACACATATAACTTGGAATTCCCTTCATCCTCACAAACTTTCCACTCTTAGATCAGCTTATTGCATAAAATGAAGTCATGTACTTTCTGCTTTATTATAAAACATTAAAAGCCAAGGTACCCAAAAGATTTAAGGCAAACAGCATACTTGTCCATATCCAAACCCAGCATTTCAATGCCAGCACCTTAAAATTCATCATATGTTTATAAAGTTTAATTTGCCTACCTAGTTATGCGAATTATGAGGCTGTTTTTCAAGCCGCTCTTAACAGAGATAGAATATAAAATAATCATGACAACCATTACTGTTTACACATTTACAAATTGTGCACTAAAGGAACGTCACTTGCCTTTCATTTCTGAATGACTTGTCTTTAAAGGAGACACAATTAAAATTCACCTGGGAATTTATGCCTCTTGCCTTCCGTATAGTCATCATTAAATAATGGCTTCAGTTTTTATTTTCTTCCAGTTTTTGTTTATAGTTTTGCTCTCCAAACTACATATACATAAAGGGGAAAGCAGGTTCATCCTTATTGCCTTTTATTTAGACTTGTTTGGATGAATATTGAAGAAAAAGTACAAACCTTAAAGGAAGTTTATCCTTGCTTTTTATGAATGAGGAAAAGAAGTAAATTTCAACAAATAGCAAGCAAAAAAATTGTTAATTGTTAAAAAAATTCTGTCTGTTCCTCGATTGAATTTGGTAGTGAGGCTCTTTGTCTAGTAAAACGATAGGCATTTGACTGATCCATCATCGAACATTTTAAAGTTTCATTTCCTCCTGTGATGAGTGATCACAGTTTTACTGTGAACCGTTTAGCACACTGAGGTGTGATGACTTTTGCACTGATGTTGTCCAACCTAGGATGCATACAAACTGAGATTTATTGTACTTGCTAAATGTCGGCGAAATGATTACTTTTTGTGATTAATAATGTTGGAACCAAAAAATGAAATCCAAAAAGTGTGAAACGGAATATAAGTAGCAACTCTCTCCACTATCTTGTGTTGTGTGTGTGTGTTTAATTACTAAAACACTAAGTATTCCGTTTTTAAATTCTACCAAGAGCGGGGAAATAAAATTAAACAGCACTGATCACGTTGTAGTTTATGGTTACTCTTTTAGATTTTGGTTTACTTTGTCCAAGCTGCGGCATTTAAACCGTTTGCATTGCTTTTGAACTGCTAAGTAAATTTTTAGATGATTATAATATGTCCAGCTTCCTAAAAACCTTTCATTTTTATTGTAATCAAAAAAGAAGATGGTTTCAGACAAGAGTAACCTGAAAATTTCTAGAACAGGATACGAATGGAATCAAGTGCTTACTAGTGGAAATCTCTGGGATCCTTTATCTAGCTAACAATTAGATATTTCAAGATTATTTGATGGAAATTAGCATGAAGATTCAGTTACATAAATCTTTTTCATTATGGGATTATTACATGACTGATAGGCTGAACCACACACAAGTAAGGTTGGTCTTATCTTCTCTCTTTGAAGAAAGAATACAAAGTAACTTTAAAAATTGAAATGTGGCAAGTAAAATACTAATTTTTTTTACTGCCATTCCAAATTAGTTGAAATAAAATCTCTAAATTAAGTGCTGGCCAAATATGTTTTACTGAGTTTAGAAAGGAATAAGTGAAATAAACATTGGGCATGCTATTTCTCTCTTTTAAAAGTGTTGTATTTCTTTAGCGTATGGGTGCCAAAATCGAATTTCCATGGGCCACATTTCTTAAGATGATAATAGATGAATAAGGTTCTGATAGAAGGTTCCACGGGCCCACTGGTCCTCTCACATAAGCCACATCTGGGCCATGGAGCTGAAGTGTAATATGCTTGCCTTACGTTGTAAGGTTTCTTAATTTGAGTTGAATAGTCTGAAAGCAATTGAATTAAAAACTGAAACACCTGGTAAATATTAAGTTACTATGTTAAGTGAATTTATTAATTGATTTACAAAATCTGTTAATAAACTTCTTTCCCTTGAGACACCCTTCTCTATTCTATGGGACCTTGAAAAATAATCCCCAGGTTTATAAAATTTATTCAAGCCTCCAAACGCCCAGCACTAGATGTCCTAAATATGAAATAGTAAAAACAAGCTAATTTCAAAATGGCTATGGATTGGGGATTTGATCATTTAGCCAGTGTTTTCAGAAGCAAAACTGGAGCAGTGGGAGGTCTTGCCCACTTTTGCAGACCTACCTGACTATTCACGGCTGTCTTTTCAGCACTGGCTTTGTTAGAACCACACAAAGCACTCACTTTCCTGATTGGGCACAAATGCTTCATATTTCTATCTGTGCACAAATATTTCTATCTGTGTATTCATACATCTGCTCAGAAAATAAAACATGTTGCTTCGATAGGTGTTTTTTCAACTGAGATTGTGGAGGATGTTTGCCCTCAGTTTGCTCACTCGATCTTTTGGAACACAAAAGACTACTCTGCCAGCTCTTGAAAAGATAGCCACATTTGAATTAATTATTTCAATAATATACAAGCAAAATCCCTTTGGTGACAATTCACATTGCACTAGAATTTGAGTGATACTTGGCATTTCTGCTTTCTCTTCTTTTTCAAATAGTACATTGCACTGTCTCTAATATAAACTGGATCTGTGATGTCTGTCTTTTGAATCATTGCGTATCATTAATATGGTACCAAGATGTATAGCAAAGTAACAAAAACTTGTGATTTGGCAATGAATCTTATACAATATTACCTCAGCTAGAAGAGGTGTTTTATCTGTTTGTTTTGTTTTGTTTAAGTTTTTTTGTCTCACTGGCATTTTAAATGTTTTCAGTAAATTGTGTAATATGAAAAAGTTCAATAAAATGTTGAAATAAAACCAATATTTTTCTCTTACTGATGCTAGAGAACTACTCAACGTGGTGTAGGAGTTCAGAATGTCACCCCAAAATATGCCATGTTGGTTTATTGATTATTTTGAATTAAACATGTTCAAGAAACAGCCAGTGCAAGGACAATGAGCCTCCTTTGTCCCCTGAAAGTGAGTGATAAATTTCCTGTGTGGAAGGTCCCCTCTGTGTACCAGGAGAGTAGAAGACATCGTCATCACCAGAGACGGAATTTAGGGCTGAGAAGGCTGTATAAATGAACCTTGTTAATTCTTCACCATTTACTACCCAGGCCGAAACCCTTTGCCTTGTCAGTTCTTCACAAATCTACTGTTTCTTTGTCTAAAAGATTATCTTCCTGCCCTGGTCACTTTAAGTCTCATTTTATGGGGCTTCTGTATGTACAAAATTAAATTTGTTTTCTCCTGTTAATCTGTCTTATGTTGATTAAATTAGGCCAGCCAAAAAACCCAGAAGGGAAGAAGGCAAAGTTTTTCTACACCTACGGTGGTAAAAGAAAAGTTATATTTTTGTAGGTAAAAATGAAGATCAAGAAAAATAATATATATGTAAAGTTAAACTTTTTTGCCCACCGTTTAAAAAACCCTTCTGTTGTAACTGTGATGTGGCTCACAAAACAAGTAACGTGTTTCCTATGAATCATCTTTTGTAAAAGTCTTAACACATTCTCTATCTGATCCTTACAACAACCCTCAGGCATTTTATGAGTAGTGCTGTTTAGAAAGGAAATAGATTGTGGGCATTGCTTGAAAACATTGCAAGGTGATCAGAAAAACCTGCAGCCACCTAGGGCTGAGAATTACTGTTGAGACATGCAAGAGACTGCCTCAAGACAGGGAGGAAACGCCAGGGAGGGTTTCTTTGGGAAATTAAGACATTCAAAAGCGGTCGTATAAACCAAGGAGTTCAGAAAGCCAAACACGTGGCCGGGATAGGATGCGTGCTTATAAAATAACTGATATTACCGTAAATTTTCACCACTGGATTATCTAAATTCAGTGCAAGCAGGAAGTGAAGGGTGAGGCAGAGTTGTAAACGCTTGGCGAAGTGTTAAAGGGGTGCCCCAACACAGAGACAATCCACAACGTTAAGCAACTAACTAAATACAAAACCAGAAAGCAAACCTAGGTCTTTACTCTAGTTCCGTGTGCCGCCGTAATGGGACCTCGCAAAGTCAGGAAGAGATGTTCTAATAACATCTGCTGTTTAGGAAAAGAACAACGGCCAACATTTATTGAACACTTAGTATAATGCCCACATCATTAAGGACTTAAATGCGTCATCATATTCCCTGCAGCAACCTCGTGAAGTAGGTACTGATAGGACGTATCCTCATTTTACAAATGCAGGAACTAAAGCTGGGAGGTTAAGAGCTTTGTCCAAGATTGTACGGTTAGTAAGTAGCATAGCTAGGATTTGACTCAGGCTTGCTCAATTCTTGCACTCCTAGGCTGGTCACCAGGCCAAAGTTTGGTTTGCCTGTTTGTGACATCCAACAGAAGGAGTGAAGGACACCACTGTTCTCACTAAAGAGTTGCTTCTCAGCTTAATCTGTACTGGAGTTTACAGTGGAAGTCTTCTGAAAGCTCTTTGGTAGGTCATTCCACAGTCCTCACCGTCTCCTCCCTTCTCCAGATTGGAAACAACCTCTCTTTTTCTTTGAACTTCCATAGCCTCTTAATTCTTTCTTGTGACATATGGACTCTCTACTTTGTAGTTGTCTGTGAACATCTGTTATATTCTCTAACTTTATGCTAAAGATCATGTTTTCTCCTCATTCCCACTACATATACTATATAGACATAGATGTAGTAAATTACACACACATAACGGATGTCAAATGATTAAATGAATTTTATAAAATTATGCACCCAATCTTGTCTATATATTTTGAAACTTACTCTCTTTTAGCTTAGAATTTCAACACTGAGGGTGACCTTTGGAAATCATCTCAATTAAACCTCTCATCTCACAAATTTGTAAACTAAGTCCTAGAGATGTTTGGTGATTTTACTAAGGTCACGGAATAGGAGAGCTGGTGCTGCAACCCAGGTCTTCCCATTCCCAGACTGCCTACATCACCCAGCCTCCCATCTTTCACTCACTGCTGACTCACGCCTTTCTATCTACATATGTCTATACAAATATACACAGGAAACTCTGAGCTCTGTAGCATTTGATAGACCCTACTTTCAAAAAGAGAAATCTACTTGCACATTCCTTTGTTACTTTTTTCATTCCATCTTTTTTCTTCTTCACTGGCTCCAATTTCTAATCCTGTCCTGAGAATTTTCCTAACTCTGTTCTGAAGCTTTACTTTTTGTGTCCAGAACATATCATCCAGTACCATCCATTATTTCAAGTGACCTCCCAATGTCTCTCTTCAGCCCTCATTTGTCCTCTAAGCTCCAGATCCACGTCTCTAATTATTTCATGCATGTTGGCACTTGTGTTCCCACTGTTTCCTCAAATTCAGTATATTGAAGGCTAAATTCATTATCTTCTGCAAACTGGCTCTGTCTTCTCAATAATGTTAGCAATTTTCCAATATAGGCAATCAATTTGAAATCATCTTTAACTTCTCCCCAGATGCTTCATAGTAAATCAATTATTAAAGTTTATCAAAAAAGGGCACGCCATGAAGCCTGGAAAACCTGGCTTTGAATTCTGGCTTCACGGCACACGAATAACCTCTCTGAGCCTCAGTTTCTCACCTGTGAAAATGAGACTAAGGCCTACCTCACTGATAGTTAAAAGAAATAGTAACTGTAAAGAACCTCAGGATTGAAAGGTTTCCCCTTCCCAATCTCCTTTCTGCCACTGGCGTTTAAGTTCACATTGTCTCACATGTGAGTAATAGGTTTTCCCTGTAGCCTGCTCTTCTAATAATTCTGCTCTACTACAAGAAGTGACCTTTCTTTTTTTGTTGTCTTTTTGTGTGTTTTCTTTTAAAGATTGGCAGCTGAGCTAACATCTGTTCCCAATCTTCTTTTGTTTTTCCCTTCTTCTTCTCCACAAAGCGCCCCCTGCACACAGTTGTGTATTCTACTTGTAGGTCCTTCTGATTCTGCTATGTGGGACTTGGCCTGGTGAGCAGTGCCAGGTCCGTGCTCAGGATCTGAACCTGCAAAACTCTGGGCCGCCGAAGCTGAGCACAAGAACTTAACCACTTGGCCATGGGGCTGGCCCAAGAAATGACCTTTCTTCACTATCATTTTATTAACAATTCTTCCCTATTCAGTTGCTTTCGTTAACCACTCAATGCACATAAAATTAAGTTCCAGGTGTTTAGGTGTTCCCAAAGGCTTGTCACCTCTTCCTGGGCTCTCTCTGACCACTCACTGCCATCCTACATGAGCAGTAGCTACCTTAATCACAGTTACCTCATGCCACTCTTTTTCCTGCCTTTGCATCTTTGCTAAATTTCTGCTCCACCAAAATTGTATCCTCTCATCTTACCTATGCAAATCCTGGCTCTTTCTGGGATTGCTAACTCAAATCCTCAGTCACTCAAAGGGCCAGTGTTCACTAAGCACATTTCATATGCTAAGTGCCTTGACATAGCAGGAGAGGAGCTATGAATAAGACACCATCACATGCACAAGGAACTTTCAGACAAGCTTTCTCAAGCTACTCCTAGCCACATGTGTTTTTCCTTCTTTGAAGTCTTCTAGAAAGAATCACCAGATTTTTATCATGTTTTTTGGCAGCTATCATGTGTTTCTTATTTAACAACTATGTTTATTACTGTTTCAACAAGACTATAATCTCCATCGTAATAATGGCTAAATTTTATTGTGTTGTATGTGTGCCAAACACACATCCAACTTGTAAAATTGTAAAAGTTTACAAGTATTAGTTTATTTAATTCTTACTAGGACCCCATGAGGGTTATTCTCCTCATTTTATATGTTAATATATAATATATAATTATTAACTGTTAATAATAATATATTATTATGTATTATTATCTCGTTTTAAGTAAGAGAGTTTAAAAATATTCATAATTTGGTGAAAATCACATACCTAGCAAGTAGTAGAAGTAGCAGAACTTCTGTCTGGCTAATTACAGATCTCTTACACTTATAAGCTCCCAAACAGCTTTCTGAAGATCAGAAGTAAATTCCCCACTCCATCCCACTCTAGCACGTAGCATATTTCTTGATATGCATAAGCATTCAAAAACACAAATTGTATTTACTACATGCAAGTAGCTTATTAAGAACATAATTTCACAATACAGACGAGGCGCTTTCGATAAATTCTCCCATCTGGAAAATGAGTTCAGAACTCCTATAATTGCCAGCCAGAAATCCAACCCTGAGGCTAGGGCCCATCTAGAGATCTACCTTGAGAAATGGCTCACAGCTTCAGACAAACCTAGACTTTTAAGACAAATTAGAGAATCTCTCTGCCCCAAATCAGATTCTACTGTATTTTTAAACGAAAGTATCAAGTATGCTAAAGAAAACCTATTTCTGGTTGTTGTAGAATCTTATTCATCTGATGTAATCTGTTGATGGAGGAAGACTTTCCATGCCGCCTCTTCCCGCACACAGTGCCCAGGAAAAGTATGTGTTTGAAATACAACTTCTTTAATCACTGGCTTAGTCACAAAATTCCTGTATCCAACAATGGAAGTGTACAGCCCAAATACATTTTGTTTCTTTAAAAAGACCTATGATGTGCTGCAACTAGGAGCAGATAACTTCTTTGGGGTAGCTGAAATAGTTCTGAGCCAGAGAGAAAAGAAAGATCTATGGCCTGGGTCTTAGGGAAAAGATAAACTTGGCAAGATCAACATAACAAAGAGAGTCATCCTCAGTTACAAAATTTGCCATAACAGCTACTGAAAAACCCCAAACACTGACATCATTCCCAACCTTTTCCAAACCAAAGGGAAGATAAACAGAAAAATGGTGCTATTCAACTTTGGATGTAGCATTTTCTCAAATTAGATCCCGAAGCTAAAT